TGCCACCTTGTTTCAGCTGAGGTTGTCTAGGGCACGGTTTGTTTCAGGTTGTTGTGCTCCGTGTTTTTGTCTGAGGAAGGCAAAAGAGTTGCAATCGAAGAACTTGGAGGTGGAGATGCTGTTGAGACCTTACATCGAATCTGCTGCAAAAGGGGCTCGATAGGGCGATAGTTGAGTAAGGTGCAACAAAGTTGTCATGACGGAAACCAAAGTGAGAAAGCCGGGCTCCTACGTGTTCGGGAACCGTTTCGTTGTAGGAGGAACGTGGTCATGTTTTATCATATGCTGTTACTACAGGACCGTGCTTCGCAAGACCCCTGCTGCTGGATCGACGACAACAGAGCAGCCTGGACCCTCGCAGGCCCAGGCGAAAGGAAAAGCGAAGGCAAAGCCTTCGGCGAAAGCGCCAAAGGCCAAGGCCGTTCCGAGAGGTGCCGGTGCGACTGCTTGAAGCAGTGCCTAGAGTTTTTGAAAGTGCGAGTATGTGCACAGTGCACATGCATAAGGCTTTGTGAGTTTCGTGGTTTGAACTAAAGCTTAAGTGAGTTGTGTAGCCTAGCAGGCTGAGTTGTGTAGCCTAGCAAGCAATGTTTTCCAGTCTTTGTGTGATCCTTGATCAAGTAAGTGGGTGCACTATATGTGCTCTGACAAGATGAGCGATTATCTTGTCATGTGGGAAAGGCAGATCATCTATACCTGCCCTGAGTTTCGAAGTAGCTGATGGCTTCGCCAATCCTGTTCGCAGCGAGAAGTTTCGGACGGGCCGGGAGAACAGAGGTGCTTGTTCGATTCGTGCACTTAGATTTATGTGTGTGTGTGTGTTCCCCTAACTTGAACACGGCTAGTTTGGTAGTCATGCATGCACATTAAACATTCATGCATGCATGTATATACATATACTTAGGCATATATATATATATATATATATATATACAAAACAGGCCGCTGCATCTGTATGATGCAATCCCGTGCTTCGCTGCTGCTGGTGCTGCTGCTACCTCTGCTGCTACTGGCTACTACTAAAGAAAGACTGCTGTGATATTCTATGGTTTTCGCTATGATAGCACAGAGACCCTGAGGCCCTAAGCCCTAAGGTCCTACCCACGCCAGTATTCCACGTCGTCGTCGCCGTCTGGGTTCTTGTCGTCCTCGTCGTTATCTTTGTAGTTTAGTTTCCAACACTATATGCCATTAGTCTTACTAGTCTGCCACTACTCGAAGTCAACGATTAGGCCCGCCACCACCACCCCCACCACCACCACCACCACCACCACTACCACTACCCTCACCCCGACCACCACCATTACAAAAGTAAGCCCTACGAACACCGCCACTACCAACAACAATAACCCCACATCCGATAAGTACTAATATTCCCCCCCGCAGGTCGTGGGCCAGCTGCGATTGCTCTGGCGAAGGCTAGTGCCCAGGGGGCCACCCACTTCAATTAGTTGGTTTGTCTAAAGAGTTCGGCCGTTTTGGGTATCGGGTTTTTAGGCCTCCGGGGTCGTTTTCGTGTTGGATTTGATACGAACTCGAGGTTTCCCATCGGCTGGTGTGCCAAATCGCGAGTGGTTTCTGGAAAGAGTTTCAAGAAGCTACGAATGCAGATCGGCGCCAGGGTGGATGCTTGCAGAGTGCATCGTTGCTTCGACGAATGCACAAATCTTCGAAAACCCGGCACGAAAATCAAACCACCAAAGCCTACGAAGATGTGGGGCTTGCAGCCCCGATTCCTTTCTCCTATGTGGATTTGGATAAGTTCCCGCATCACCCGTGGTTCCGACCGAGCGATTTTTTGCGAGTTTTCGTGCAGCAAGGCAAGTTGGGTCTGTTGACGGGTGGAAGTTCTTTCGATATTCTGGCAGAGTTCTGGCAAAGGTATTACTACGTGCAGCCAAGCCATGCAGTATATAAGTTGCTGGATACTGAGCAGCGAAGATTCACGATACCTTGCATGCTGTATGCAGACGAGGGCCAAACTTTGAAGAAGCAGAGCTTGATGGTCATTTCGATACAGCCAGCAATCGGAGCAGGAATTCATGCTGCTGAAGGTTGTGCGAGCTCTGGTTCAATGGGCAATAATTTCATTGGCTCCTGCTACAAAACACGTTTCCTCCTGAGTGTTCTTGCAAAGCGAGCTTACAAAACCAATGCCGAAGTATTGGATGTATTGATGGAGCAGATTGTTCGTGATTGCAACGATTGCTTGGAATCTGGCATTTCCGTTTGCCTGGGGGGCAAGCCCGTCAAGCTTAGACTTGCAATTTTGCAAGTCAAAGGTGATTGGCCAATATTGGCGAGGCTGGGGCATTTGACACGGTCTTTCCACAGGCTGACGAAAGGGGGCTTGGTGACAAAGAATGGCAAAGCAAAGGTGCCAAAAGGTATCTGCCATTTGTGCAGAGCCGGGTGCCCTGGGGTACCATTGCAGGAGTACACCGAACAAGCCAAATGGTGCGAAACATACTTGAAAGACCCTCCCTTCGATCCCAGCGACCCGAGCCCGATGTGGGAATTGCACCAAGCCGATTCAAAAGAGGTATTGTACCAATATGATCTTTTCCATACATGTCACAAGGGTTTCTTTGCAGAACTTTCTGGGTCAGCTATCGTTTCTTGGCATGGTTCGGAGTTTCAGTTCTCGTGACTACATATATGTATTGATAGGTGCCAAAGGTTGGTGATAAAGCTAAGGCTTTCGACTTGTGTCAGGTTGTACTTATGGACCTGGGCTTGGCTGGAGCAGGCGACAGGAACGAACAGATTGGAAACTTGTATGGCCGGCTGGAAACATTTTGCAAGCAAAACAAGTTCTCCCTGCATATGAGTGCTTTGACACGGCAGCTGCTGCACTACCCGAACGAAGGCGAGTTTCCTTGTGGGATGCTTGGTAGTTGTTCGTCAAAATATTGCTGTTCGTTTTAAGTGAGCCTTACCATCTTAATATGGTTCCGATACTAATCTTAATCTGTACCGGAATATAAATAACTCACTACATCGTGGACGGGTTAATAATGCAACGGGTGTAAAAGCATGTACTTGTTTTGGGTGATAGATGATGAGTTACACTTAGCCCGCAATATAAAGTCGTTGTTTCGGTAGACACCAAATATATGTACCTTTGTCTCTCTACTCCGGTCGCTCTCACTCTCTGTGTCGTCTTTCTCGTATACCCAGGTCTTGGTTCAAAGGCCACGATACGACAGTGGTGATGCTGTGGTTGGAAGCTGTTTTTGGCTTCATCAATGAGCACGGGGCAACCGCCTACACGAGAAATATTGAAACTGCTATTCGGGCGGGAAATGATTTCTTGAGATGCTTGTACAGAAGTGGGCTTTGGCTTTCGAAAGCTGAAGCAGCGAGTGCCATTATGCATTCGACAACATTTTGCCGGTGCTACCTGTCGGCGGCGGAAACTGCATTTCGCCAAAAGCTGCTTAGATTCAAGATTTCACCCAAGTTTCATGCATTTTGCCATTTCGCATTCGAGATGGACCGGCAAATTCAAAACACATGGATCTTCAGCCCAATGTCGTCCTGCTGTCAGCAGGACGAGGACTTTGTGGGGAAGATTGCTGGCTTATCTGTATGCGGCCAATTCAAAGTTGTGCACACGCAGACCCTGCAAAGGTACGTGATCAACCTCGAGCAGAACTGGTGAAAAGGATTTCGAAGGGTGTTGCTTAGAGCTTTCAGGATTCGAAGGTATGATATGACGACTTGTTTGTGCTTTCTCCCACACTTGTCGAGCGAAGTTGACTTCCATTGGAAATCTTTCTTCTCTTCCCTCGTCTCTCTCTCTCTTTGTCCCCTCCTAACATAATTTAGGGCACAATAAAATAGCAACTATTTCAAAGTTGCCCCGAAAACCCTAACCTATCGACCTTTGGCCCTCTAGGTTGCAACTAGGTTCTTAAGGTAGGGTAACTGTACTTATAACCCATACTAGGGGACTTATAACGCTACTTGTAACTACCCATGAACCTCCAAGGAGTGATTCCAGTGCTGATGGCTCAGGGTCTTGATCTTGAGAGCTTTCTGGGCCTGCGATTCTGGTTCCCTCTGCAGGCTCCAGCTGCCAAAGCAACAGCGGCTGAGGGGTCGACGGTCTTTTGGGTTGTGCCACCTCCGAGTGGAATGTCGTTCTTTCGAGGATTCGCAGGCTCGAGGGAGATACCTTCAAAATAGGGGGGGTTCCAGGACCTGATCAGCGTGCCACAACGGGGTTGAAGGGGGTGGGGCACACAGCCTGCACAACGATCAGCTCAGTCTCCATACCTACCAGGACCCTGCTTGTACCCTCAAAAAGGGGTATATGATCCCAAATAAGGGGCATTTAGGCTCTAATAGAGGGTAGATGGAGGGTCTAGGTATCTACTTGTGTGTTTGTAAGGCAAGGTGCTTTTGACGGCAGCTTGATGTCTGCACCCGCGCTCATGCGTGTGAATACCGACAGAAGCTTACCCAGGGGCCCCAAAGTAGTTCCTTTTTGGGTGTGTCCTCTTTTTTGATTCGGGACTCTAATATACTATCCAAAAAGGAACTACTTTGGGGCCCCTAGGTATCATCGGCGAGGCACAAGCCGTAGAAGCCAAGGGTTGGGCAAGCGTCCAGATCACAGCTTCGAACATTCGTGTTGGCAAGCCTACCCTAAGGCCCCATATAGTAGTTCCTTTTGTGGTTGATATTTACAATCCTATAAGGTAATCCCCAAAAGGAACTACTTCGTGGCCTATGGGTAGAGGAGGAGCAGCCTTCAACTGCCAAATTTCAACAATCACGAGTGACAAGACACGGCACCTGGTCATGGGAGGGCGCTTCTGGACGCAATATTATGGGTGCCCAATACTATACTGTTTGGGAGGTTCCTTATAATGATTACAGTATAATGGGCCCCAAACCCTATTCTAATTATTAAGGCCCCTAGTTATATTATGTTTCTTCAGCCGCTGGCTTTGCTTCTTCCTGAGACGAAATTTCAGCTCTCCCGTGGCAAGGAGATGACCTGCGAGCACTGGGAAACGAGATCCTGCAAGTACGGCAAGACAGCCAGGCAAGTGGGGGCAGCTCCAAGCACAGGTCCTGAGACACGTTCTTGGAGCAAAAATTGCTGGAAGAAGCAACCCGACAGGTCCTCACATACTCATAGTTTAGAACTTGGACTGCCTTCACATGACAGCGGGGTGCCGCAATCGGTCCCATTTGTGTCACGGAGGACAGCTGATTGGGGCTATACACCGCAACTACAGCAGCCCTGCCGCTGGAGTGCGCACATGCAGCAACGTGAAACTCTAAGCAAACCTCCAAAACTGCTCAGCAGTTGCTGGCTGCTAGTGCTTGGGAGGACTTGCGTGGGCAGCTGCTTACCAGGCAGCACGAAGCAGAGCCACTGGGCTTCCGTTAACTGGGTTAAGAGCAGTCATGGCTTCTTCATCCCAAAGCCCAGCTGCCTTTTTCGACAGAACTTGCGTATGGACGGAGTGTTTGATGCCACTTCTTTGTGCAAACATGAGAAACTAAACCGGCAAACCCAAGGCAATGCACCGACTTTCCCTAGTCACCGAAGGAGCGATCGCCCAACTTCATCCTGATCTACAGCCTGAAAAACTTTAGAACTAGACGCTTCATATACCCCGCTCCTTTGCCTAACTTTTTCAGGCCTGGACCGTATAGACCACAAGATACCTGCAACTTGCACCGAGACCCCTAAACCCTAAACACTGTACGTGCAGTCGGAAAAGGAAGGTCCCATGAAATAAGAAAACATTAACCCTACCCCTAAACCCTAAACCCTAAACCCCAAGACCAAAGTATCTCTTGCCGAGGCTCCGGCGGCTTCGGGGAGATCTGGCAGAGACGGAACGGGCAGCACGTGCGGCTCAAGCGAGCTTGCGTCACGCGGAGGCCAGAACCTCAGGGTTTGTGGGCCTATACTGGTGGTACTAGCAGGACCCCGTATAGTACATGCCATGTACATCTACATATACTTCACTAGAATCCTGTCGTCGTCAGTCGTAGTGTCGTTGTGGTAGCGGTGGTGCTGCTGCTGCTGCTGTTGCTGGAGTGCCCGAAGGCGTACAGTCGTGGTGCATACTGCAACATTCATGTGGGAGTTTCCGAAAATAGGGGACCCTAATATACCCTAAATACTAGGATCCTTATTGTAAGGACCCCAAAATTCAGGTACCCCTAATTTTCGGAAACTCCCATGTGCTTCTGTCTAGACACCAAGACGGGCACTGGGAAAGCTGCACGCCAGATTGCAATGGTCACTGCTACAAAGGATACTGACGGCCATCATTGTCGTAGTGAGTCTACAGTCTACAGCAGCAATCAGATCACTTCTAGCATTCTTGAGTTCAGTTTACGCTCAGTGATGGAAGATAGGCTGGGCCTGGTGCTTGCAGGGGGCTGAGCTGAGAGCGGGTCGCTTGTCCAACCGCAGGACTCGCACGAGCTGCAGCTATCCACCGAAACTGCGACCATGCGCCGCCTTGAACAGAGGCCCCGTGAAATACATTGAAGCGGTGCTGCTGCTGCTGCCGCTGCAGTGCATTTTGCACCGGACTAGCACAGCAGATGGACCTGCTCTGTACGGGTATGTATGGTATCATCAAGAGTGAGTACTGTAGGACTGGGTTATGACTGTGTCTCTGCAGTTTAAGTTGCACATATGGGCCTGGCCCCAATCCTCAAGCCTTTTTTTGTTCGCAGACTCAGCTTTGTCCTCACGGCTGCATGGCTATTTACCTCAAGCCTTTGGTAGCATATTTAGACAACTGCTTTTTAGTACACTCAGCTACAATTATCTATGTATTTAGATACGCACAATGTATACATGTAAATGTGCGCTCTCTTAGTGTGTAGACGTGTTTGGCGTTTTTTTTGTTGATGTACGTGTTGTGTTTATTGTTGTATTTTTATGCATTGACTTATGACTTTATGCCAGACAGCATGTGTACATATTCCAGACGTTCTTCTAGTTTCGCATGTACTTTTGATGATTCCAAGCCGGATTCGAGGTGCCGCTTTCTGGAACACGGCGCGGAGGCTGCCGAGGCTCCAATAGCTTTTGGTCCATTCTGCCTGAACTCCCACGCACCGACCCACCCACCGACCCATCCAAACTATATGCACTCACACCCTTTTCCAGACAACACGCACAAACGCACGCAACACACACACACACAACACACGCAAGACACACACAACACACGCAAGACACACACAACACACGCAAGACACACACACACACACACACACACACCCACCGCTGGCGTGTCTGCAGCCTTTGGGGTTAGGCATGTGCTGCCGCTGGCAAGTACATCACAGTCCTGTGAAGGATGATTCATGCCGAAAGCAAGAAAGCCTCCCGCAATGTTCACAGGGCTTCCGAGCGCATCCAACACTACCCGCGCATGCGTTGCGTTCAAGCATGTTCCAACGAGTCATCTCATGCAAAACCATGGGTTGTCAGGCAGAGTTGACGACTACGTCCCAGCAGCTCGTGGCTTTGGAGGTGGTCTCGAGTGTGTGCTAGTGTGTGAGAGGAGCAGCACGGCAGCACCGTCGCAACATTCATGCGCGGCTATGGGCGCTTGGTTAAGCTCCGAACACTCGCAGTGTTTTTGCTGGCGTCTCGCTACAAACCCATGTTGTTGAGGTTCATAGAGGTTTATGGCTCGGGGACACTTCACAAACAACTTGACTCGTGATGCAGGAAAACACTGGGCCATCCCCAAAGCTATTACAGAACTGCACGCCAAAGTTCGGGGAGCGGTTGGCGAGCTGCAAGTTTGATTGTTTGCAGCGTTGTCGCCGACATGTATGTGTTGTGCTCGAGACATACCATGAACATAATGAGTTTATAGTCGACCAGCGAGTTGAGTGGGCACCACGGTCAGACTGTCATCTATGCTTCTCGCAAACATCTACTTCTCACAGCGTTACATTCAACTGAAGATTGTGCTCTGTGAGAGTACTAGGTTTTTATGCAGCATTGACAGCGTGCAACTATGGTGCCCGGTGAGCATGGGAGTCTTCTGGGCAAGCTGAGAGAGCGGATTAAGCTATGTGAAGAGTACAAAACCCGAACAGAGGAAATGATCCATCGGATCCTGGAGCAGCACGCGATGTGGAGGTCACAACATACGGCTATTCTTGAAGTATACACCGCCCTGGGAGGATGGACGAAGGATGCTGCGCAGCAGGCGGCAACGGCGGCTCTCCCTCTCCCGTCGATGCAGCTTCAGAGATCCCGCCCTGGTGATTCTTCAGCGCCAAGACCTGCAAGTTCGGAGCAGATCGTCGTTTTGGATGGCCCCGACCACGTGTGGGACCGTCATTTCGGACATGTCGATTTCGAGGACCAGGTTCCTCAGAGGTTCGAGCGAGAGATTTCACAGCAGGTCGCGGCAGACGAGACGGATGTTGCAGAAGATGAGGATGTGATGCTGGTGGCAGATAGCCTCAAGGATACTGCAACGGAGCAGGATATTGCTATGCCGGCGACGTACACACAGGCTGCTGCCGACACCCAGGCCGCAAAACAGCAGCCCGATGAGGGCATCAGCCTCGGCAAGCAACTCGCACGGTCCCAGCTGGCCAGGATGTCGGTGCGGAGTTCCGAGTTTGACTCGGCATCCTTCTGCTTTGGCATGAGCACTGACGAGCTGGGTAAACAGATTCTGGCCGACCTTGAAAGAATCCCCGACAAACATTGGGAAACCAGGTCGAGACAGAATGTTAGACCCACCGGAGAGGCAAAGAGTTTGCAGAAAACACTGGGCCTCTTCGTGGGTGCCGTTTGGTCTGGAATACCTATGCCGACAACTGACACCTTCAAATTTCGCAAGCTGACTGGAAACATCCTGCATTACGCGAGAAAGCTCGGAGTTGGGGAAGCTACATCCATTCAAGTCACCAAGAATCTGTGCACAAAGCCGCACAGGGACGGGAACAACAAAGGGCCAAGCTGGATTTTTGGTCTGGGAGATTGGACTGAAGGGGGTGAGACTTTTGTTCAAGATGACAGCGGGACTGAGCAGTACGAGTTGCAGGAACACATCCCCAGCATCGGCCCAAAAGGCCAGGTCTTGCGTGGATTCAAAAGGGACATCCACACGCTCCAGAAGTTTGATGGCACCAAAATCCACTGCACGATCCCATTCGAAGGCACTCGCTATGCCATTATACTGTATGCCATCAACAGGTCCTATCACAAGACGCCCGCTCTCGCTCGTGCTCTGTTGATCCGTCTCGGGTTCAATCTCCCCCTGCACGAGTTCGAGGCAAGTATCCAAGCAGGGGATGAGGAACTTGTCGGGGCTGCCGTCGAGGGCAGGCCAGTGGCAGACGAGCCTGGACGTCACCCGCCGCCAACAGGTCGGTCCAGGCCATCGAAGCGCTCGCATGAGGATGCTGAGGGAGTCGGGGCAGAGCCAGGGGAGCCTTCTGGTGCCAGGTGGATGGGTGTTCCGCTTGTTTCGCCTGTCTCTCGCAGTCCCAACGAACCCGAAGTGCAGGAGCTGTGGTCAGATTCCGATGTGGAGTCATTGAAAGACTTGAAGTCACAAGAGCACGCGGAAGGCTTGGAAGAGCGAGGAGTCTGTCAAGACGAAGTGGGAGGCCTTGTGTCCTCCTTGAGTTCGCGATGTTCTCGCTAGCTGCAACGGGCGGCGCATGCCTCCGAGTCAAGTAGCACCTAAAAGCTACTGAGAATCTGGGAAGCCTGGCGTCCTCTGTTCGGAATGCTACCATGAGGCGCGGTCTGAAGGCGAACGCTGTGGGCGGCGAAGCTATGGGATAAAAGACCTGATGCATCGCGGATCCCGAACCACGCAAATTACGCATGCATGTGGGTAGTTCTCCAAATTAGGGCCCCCTTATAGGTCAGCTACCCGCGTGGCCCAAGTGTTGTTGATCATTGGATGGTGGATCCCGCGAGAGGCAACCCGGAAGAAGCTGGAGAGAGACCTGGCTTGCCAACAGGCCCGGCATGTCAAACAGTATGTGGGTTTAGAGAGCTGCGCAACTGAACTATGTTGTATGTGCGTGAAATATGTATGTTGAAATCATTCACAGATTATGTATACATGCATGATATAATGCATACCCAATAGTTACACACGCACACACACACATATGTATGTATATATATATATATATATATATATATATACACATGGGTATATGGGACAGCGCGGTGAAGCCGTGCGCAGCCTGCACAGGAGGCCGGGAGACAGGCTGAGGCTCAGCGAGAAGCCGCCGCCGAGGAGAGTTTGGGGTCTATACCCTAAGTGTCCATGTGCCCAAATAGGCGCTCCTTTAAGGGTAGCATAAAGGTTCCTTATAAAGTTGTCTATAGGGTCTAGGGTTTAAGGGTCCATGTCCCCAAATAGTATATACTTTGGCCCCGATGTACCTAGTCATTGCTTTGCTTGCCCAAGAAGTCGTGGGTTTTGTGATGGCAGATACTTCCTCCAACCACTACTAGTTCCTAACATTGAAACCGGTACCCTTCATATATAGGTGCTTTGGATCCTTTGGTTTACAGTGGCAAATTGAGGCACTTACGGAGGGACGCAGCATGCACAAGTGCCGTGATTCTGTATGCTCGAGGCCAGAAGAAGAATTGGTCATATTTCTGATGACCTTGAAAGCACACCGAGATAGTAGGAGTAGGAGTAGTAGTAGTAGCAGTAGTAGTAGTAGTAGTAGCAGTAGTAGTAGCAGTAGTAGTAGTAGTAGTAGTAGTAGTAGTAGTAGTAGTACAAGTGGTAGTACCAGTAGTAGCACTAGTAGTAGAAGAAGTAAAAGTAGAAGTGGATGTTGTTGGTGTTGTAGCAGTAGCAGTAGCAGTAGCAGCAGCAGCAGCAGCAGCAGTTGTGTAGCAGTAGTCGTAGTCGTAGTAGTAGCAGCAGATAGTATTCGTTATTGTTGTTGCTGGTCGTGGATGTAGCGGTGGCGGTGGCGGTGGTGGCGGTTTGATGTCACGGTCAATCTCCCAGAGCACGATATGCACGTGGGGCTGGGGCTGTGAATTAAAGCCGAGATGCTTGAGAGTTTCTGGAGCGTAGAGGCGCAAAGTCGAGAACATCAGCACTTTAGGCCTTGGGTCGTCATGACTCGGTCCACTGGTTCAGCAACTTGGCAGGATGACGCCCAGACCAAAGACGAGCTGGAGCAGAAGCTTGGGTTAACAAAAAAGCCGTCGTCGTTGCTTTTGCTAGTTCTCGCACTGGCTTGTGTTTGTCTAACTGGCCAAACAAGCTGGTTTCCCAAGCAAAAGGAAGCAGCACAGATGGCATCGCTTGTAGCCGCCCCGCGTCCTCCACCAGGTGCACGTGTAGACATGGCCTCGAAGTTGGGTTCGTGGGTTGGAACCTACTTGGAGGTTAATGGGTAGTTATAAGTAGAGTTATAAGTACGGTAACTATACTTATGACCCAAATTAGGGGACTTTTAGCCCTACTTGTAACTACCCATGAACCTCCAAGTATCTTGATTCGCCAGCACAGTTCTGAGGAACCTTTTTCAAACGAAGCGGGAGCTGACATCCCTGAAGTGGCAGTATGATCAGCTTATGGCAGACCGCGCCGCTGGGCTGACAATCTTCCACAAGTCACGTCTAGCCTGACAGCTTGATTGCAATATGGGAGTTTCCGCAAATTAAGGGTACCTTATTTGGGGGTCCTTGTAATAAGGATCCTATTGTTTAGGGTACTACATGAGGGTCCCCGATTATCGGAAACTCCCACATCAACGATGGCGGACGAACCTGGCAGCTATGCAGTTGCATGGATATGGTAACACAGTGTCCTGCAACCAACTCTTACTGTCCTTGTTCAGAGATCCTTGTCTAAAGTCTCTATGCAATTATCGCATGTGTCCTCAAGGAACGACCCTTCCTTCGTCGGGTAGCCACCCTTTGCTGACAGCGTAGAGGTGACAAGTGATCCTACGGTAGGTGCAAAACGCAAAAGAAAACGGTTAATATGGTAGCAAGGATTTATGACTCAAGGCGCGCCGAATATACAAAGCCTCGCGAGGCCCTTTATGGCAATTGCCAAAAGATTCTCAGCAGACAGCATTGCTCCTGTCAAAACCCATCAGACCACAAGTGCTTTAAGAACCCACCTGACCCCGAAACAAACCCAAAGTCAAGCTTCACGGAATCAGGACCAATCCTTGCAGAAAGCGGCCAATGTGGAAGCCGCTCTCAAGTCTGCAGACCTCCGGCAGGCAGACTTGGAGCACGCTTAACTCATAATGGCTGTGTTTGCAATGTCGTGCCACATAGAGGCATGCTTTACACAATGGCAGCATGGCCGTGGCTCTTAAAACCTAGACAAAGTTTGCAACAATACTGGGTGTTGTGGCAAACGTTTGCGCGACAGGCCAACGAGCCTAAAGCTCAAACTCCTAATATAGAGGTTTCAATAATTACCAGTACTATTTTGGGGTTCCGTATCATAATAATAGTATAATGGGCCCCCAAAGCCCCATTCTAATTATTAAGGCCCCTATATTAAACGCTCAAGGCGGTGGAGTCTGCGTGCTGTTGGACCGAGCGTGGCTCCCGGCGGTTAGCATTGACTTCATGGTCGTGCAATGTTGCTCTAAGACTAAGGCCAAGGTACAATCCCCATGGCATCCGACATGAACCGAAAATCCCGAACGGCACCGCGAAAGGCACACGAGCGGTAGAGAGTCTTTAGATAGTTTAGACGGCATAATTCAGTATCAAAAGTTAGTAGTAGTAGTAGTAGTAGTAGTAGTAGTAGTAGTAGTAGTAGTAGTAGTAGTAGTAGTAGTAGTAGTAGCAGTAGTAGTAGTAGCAGTAGTAGTAGTAGTGGTGGTAGTAAACGCAATATCGTAGTAGCGGCACTATAGTTGTAACAATAATTTAATAGTAGTGGTGGTAGTGGTAGTGGAAGTAATTGCTGTGGTGTTTCTGAGGCAAGACGCTGCAAAGGCGGCGGAAGTGCGGGCAACTGGCTTCGAGGCGGTCTCGATCTCTAGCGTAGATGTAAAAACTTCCACATTTTTTGTAGGCTCTGTGAATTCTATCCCTTTATACCTGCGGATCAAAGTAGCATCAGTCATGGTACAGATTTGCCAGCATCATGTGCATGTTCTACGGCATTCAGGCGGCACTTTGCATTTCTGATCTGTTTGTACACTGCCCCCCACCAATGGGTCCCTTTTTTGGTACCCCAACTGGTGCCGTACTGTATCAGGGACCCAGAAAGGGATCCTAAGTTTGACAACCACCCATTTCAAAGCAGGTGCTGCACAGGGCTCAGATCTTGCTGGGTCCATCGGATGAAACTAAGCAGTTGAAGGGCGGTCACCGCAAGCTCTCGTGGGCGTAAAGGTCCGTGGCATGGTTATGTATGTAAAGAGAGAGAGAGAGAGAGAGAGAGAGAGAGAGAGAGAGAGAGAGAGAGAGAGAGAGAGAGAGAGAGAGAGAGAGAAAGAGAGAGAGAGCGAGTGCGAGCGCGAGCGCGAGAGCGAGAGAGCGAGAGAGAGAGAGAAGGAGAGAGAGAAAGCAATAAAGAAAGACAAAAACAAGTAGGAAGAGAGAGAGGGAGAGAGAAAGATGAACCTGGAGTGCGTGACCCTCGTATTGTGGGGCATAGCGAAGACCTTAGCGAGAACGGCAAAAAGGGGGATGATGACGACTGAGTGCTGGTGGGGGCCCCGCTTCGAGCGATGTAGGCTCGCATGGTTGGTTTCTGCAGGTCGCTCAGTCGGATACGTAAAGCCAAAGACTTTGAGACCTGTCTGTAGAATTGCAGCTTGTTCATCCGAAGATCGTGCTATATAGTGCCTCCGCCATAGTTCCCGAGGAAAATTTAAAGCGGTATGTGAGGACCTGAACCTTGCCCAAAGAGACTTGCAACATCCAAGCCCCCACGAGGAGCAGGCTGCAAACTTGCGACAAACTGTCTACCGCCTTGAGAGCGAGCTGGGCCACCAAAGGGCTATTGCCATGGCAGCTGGGCCAGAATCTACGGCAACATTGAAACTGCTAGGTTAAGTTGATGGATGGACAAATGTATGTATTTATGAATGCATGCATGCATGCATGCATGTAGTGCGCATGACTGTACGATGCATAGGTGTTATGCAAGTAGGCATGCATCCATGTACGTATGTAAGCTGGATGGATGGATGGATGGATGGATGCAGGTATGCTTTTACATATGTATACAAGCATGTGTTTTGTTCTTGTTGGATCTATGTGTGTGTGTGTGTGCGTGCATGACTACCTGCCTTTATGCCCGCATGCATGGGTAGCTGGATGGATGTACACATGTAATATGTACGCATGTATGTATACAGGTATACATGCATGCATGCACATATGCATGTACGCATGTGCGTACTTGTGTTTGTCTGTGTGTCTTTATGTCCGTATGTAAGGCATGCATGCATGCATGTGTGTGTGTGTGTGTGCGTGGAGGGATGCAAGTATTCATGTGTGCATGTATGCATGCATGCATGTACACATGTATAGCATACAAATGTCTGCATGTATGTATGAACATGTTCAGACGCGTCTATATGTTTGTAAGCGTATATATATATATATACTTGCTGGGTCTTAGGCTTCGGGTTTAAGTTTTAAGTTTTTGCTGGGTTTGTTGCCGTTTGGCCC